AGCAAACCACCTTTGGCATATCCATTTTAATAATATAGAGATATAAATTAAAGTGCTTGTTGTACCTGAAAACATTAACAAGCACAAACATCGAGATACACGTTTCTACGTTTTGTTCTACATATAGGTGGTATAGATAAGCAGAATTTATATGATTAAAGTATTTTATCATGGCAGAAAAGCTCCGGTTGCGTCTCTGGAATTCGTTTTACTTATCTGATCTTAGCTTTCTAGAGTTACTGTGAAAAAATGGGTTCAAGTGTTTCTCATACACATATTGCATAACTCTGAGGGGATTTGCGGAGCTTACTTTGAGGAATTCTAGTTGAATTTAAATCAAAATAGATTACCTTTGTATAGTACTTACATTTAAATTACTCATTTATGAGGACGAAAATTTGAATTTAATTTCAAACTCACAAAAGACCCTTAATCTGTGCTAAAATTTTACAAAAAAACAACTATCCGTTGTCGATCTTGTTTGTTTGGTAAGGCTTAAATTTCTCTGTAATAAACTTTGAGGTTAAAAGAAAAGTGGGAACTCTGCAGAAAATACGTTTATGTAGTAAATATCCACTAGAACACGTCGATCCCTCTGATAACCCAATTACCCCGAAATGTAGGAGTCCAACTTCGCGTTTTATTTGTACATCCTTCCTTTAAATTAATTTACAATTGCATTTACGAGCAGATAAAAAATTTGATATAAAATAAGATAAAGCTTTTCTTTTTATGAGAAAAGTTTGGGTCTGCATCCAATTCGTCCCATTGAGAAGCTTATCTACCTTTTCATTTCTCAAACGAATAAACTTGGAAGAGTTTCGTCATTAGTTACAATATACCCAATTTCATCTGTATATCTACCGTACACGTCCTCATTGTATTAAACAAAACTAGGCGATCTCTTATACACGGTCATTTTTATACATTTATCTTACTAAATCAGATTCGCTTCCTAATCTGCTACAGATACTTGGCAAAATTATATAAAGAACTTTAATTGCTTTAGGAAGCGCGTTAATTAATCATCTTCAAAACGGATTTAAAGTTTAAATTAGCGTTTAAACGAACATTGTCCAGAAAAGACAAAAGGCTATGTTAATATTCAACTAAAGCTAAACGAATTAATGCTTCTGCTTTTTATAGATAATAGTTCTGTGTAAAATTAATTTCGGCAGTAGGTACCTACTTTCCTTAAGAATACATTTTAAATTAACAAATGTTTCAATGCCGTATAAAGTGTTTCTATGCCGTCAGCTAAATAGCAAGTGTTCACCATCGACGGACATTTCTTGTGAGCAAGGGAAAAATAACAATCGCAGTAAACAGTATCTTTGAAACTATAAAACGTCCACTTTATTCCGCATTCTACGAAAATTATATGCTTGACAATTTCTTTCATTAGGAAACGGGCATTTGAAATAAGTCGGCGGAATAATTAGTTTATAATTGCATGGCCTATTGAAAAATATCGAAAATAGTTAGTGAGGAACTTTTACCGTATACGATGTCTCTAAAATAATCAAAATTTACTTTTACAATGCGCCGCTGGCAAACAATCAGAACAATCAGAATTATGGGAAAACACTTTCTGTCGGGAAATTTTAGTTTCCATGACAGAGGCAGAGCAGACGCCTGCCTGCCGCTTGTCACTTTATTGGCCGCATCTGTCACTTTACCGGCCACACCGTCACTTTACCGGCCGCATTTTGTGACATTTGTAAATGTCTATAATGACTCCCGTCATCACTGACAAATTGACATTAATCAAAAGTTCTATATAAAAATTGAAATTTTATATTAAAATACGATTTCGGGTAAAATTTAATACAAAACTCGTCAGTAAAATGACATTACCTGAATTAAAGTATCATTTTCCTGAATTTTATGTCAATAACTATCGTGGAATCAAAAATTAAAATTACCTTGAAGAATTGTACATCAAAGAAATTCCTGTATACAATAGTTTTTCCAAAGAATTAATTATGAACTTAATTAGGAAACATGGACTAAGAAAGCGGATTAAAAATATAACAACGTTAGGTGATTGTATTAGTTAATTAGAGAATATGTATTGCCCAATTATCCTTCCTACATTAGAACTTTATCTAAAATCTTTTCCAAAATAAATTCACCCCTTCCATAGGAAACTTATAAGGAAAATTTGAACGATTTTATACATAGTGTATCCGAGTGGGACCTTCTCCTTCAGCAAAAGAAACTGCAATGAATTCGTAAAGCCTCTTCACCCGCTAAAATTATACAAAAAAAACTTAGAACAACGGACCGCATTCATGTGCGCAACTGTAGGATCTACATTGCGAACTATAATTTAGCACCACATGACTTCTAATACATCTCAAGAAATACCTCATAGACATCTTCCGCGTGTGACCAATTATGTACCAGCATCAAACATATAAAGAGAAACGCCGAAATGAATGCATGGTGGTAGTTAGCTAAAACTAAACCGTGTGCATGTATCTCAATGTCGTAAAAAGTTTATATGGGCGACTTTATAAAGGTAAAAAGTTCTTCTATATCAGAAAAAAGGATCTTCGCTGGCGTACCTAACTTTACATAAATCTATGAATTCCTCTGCGGTGCATCTAACCATATTACGTAATTACCGTGTTCCGTCGACTTTATACCGTCTCTTCCTCTGGTTTCATATCGCAATATGCTTAAAATTAAATTGAGGTTGGCCATCTTAAAGAAGTATTATTCCACTGAATTTATTCGAGCGTCACTTAGAAATGGCGCATAGGATTTAAAATTCGTTGCATGGGCTAAAGTTAATAAGGAAGTTTATTAATATAATCCCGACTCTAACTTTAGCTTATGTAAATCAGGAAAAAATTTTAAAATAATACGATTAAGCAGTACATTATACCCGAGCTGAAATTTACAGACCGTCCTGAAACTTTATATAAAAGGGTTAAAGGCGTTTTAATTTTGCTCATATTGTAAAGTCTAAAGTTATTGTATTAACGTTATATTAGATAGTTAATGACTGAAAAGATGGCGAAAGCGAATCTTATAATCTTGAGGAGTATAAAGGCTTATTTAAGAGAGTTTGTAATATTGAAAGATAATATTGGAAAGAAAGCAGTTCAAAACGGTTTCATAATGCTTTAAGCGCTTCGTACAGGTTCTGATGTTTTGAACGCCTGTTGAAATTGATATTGATTTGATATTTCATCAAACAATGGTAATAATAATATTAGTTTAGTTTACATATGGAAAGTATGAATACTTTGGTTTTCCCAATTGTTGCAATATACCTACTATCCCTTTATATCAAGACAGTACCGAAGAAACTGCTAAAAAAGAACAAGGCGCAACGCGTACAGCCCACAACAATGGAAATGTTAATATAAATACCTTGTTAATTACTTACTAAATAAGCAGTGTGTTCATATTTATGGTTCTGATTTTAAATGCCGAGGGAGTATAAATTACCATTTCGTCGGTTACTTGTTATGAATTATTCGCTGAAGTTGTTACCGCTATTATTATTTGAATTTAGAGTAAAAAGTAAGGGATTCATTGTCAATAATTACAATTTTTTCACTTTCGGTTTGACTGGAAACAACCTACATTTTTTAAAAAGACCATTTAAATCTTTAAGTTTTATTTTTTACTGCGTTTAGGTGGGCCTAAGCGCTGGTGTGAAAACGGTTGGAGATTTAAATAAGATGTGTTTGTGCATATTCTAGCATGAAATAGTTATTTTTGTATTAAGTGCGCAGAGTTTTTTTTAATTCTCGTTTATTTAATCGCATCAAATGTGTTTCATCCCTCGACCTTCGGTCTCGGGATGAAATTGCACATTTTCATGCGATTAAATAAACGAGAATTTGGGCACAAAATACAAACGACGTTTTTTCTACAACTGTTAGAATATAATTTAAGTTTTCATCTCCTTCTCACTTTGATTAATCTGAAAGCCTTGGAAATTGCACTAATTTTGAGGTGGCTGATTTTCATTGTTACTAAGGAAACGTATGTAAATAAACTAAACAGTCAGATTTAGAGCATTATTCTCGTGATCGCGTTAATTACCAAGTAATCGCTAAAAATGGATAGTGAAAATGATAGTGACTTAGAATGCACTCCTCCAGAGGTGCACCAAACCGCAAGCGATGCCATCCATAAGCTCTTGCCCGAAAAATCGAAAACGCAGTACCAAATAGCGTACCGAACCTTTAAAGATTGGCGTTTGACGAAAAAGGTGAGGAAAACGTCTGAAAATGTACTTCTGGCTTATTTGGAGGAAAAATCGCGAAGCGTCAAATCGTCTACACTGTGGTCCATCTACTCAATGTTGAAATCCACGTTAAATATTAATGAAAATATTAATATTGGCCAATACGCGAAGCTAGTACCCTTTCTGAAAAGAAAATCGGTTGGACATCGCCCAAAGAAGTCGAAGATGCTTACACAGCTTGACGTGCAAACGTTTCTGACTGAGGCCGATGATGAACAGTATTTGTTAATTAACATGGGAAAACAGTTTTTCGCAGCTTGTTGCTCCCCAAATTAACTTAGAGGGTCCATAATGGCATCCACTGGAAAGAAGATTTTTTTCTCCTCTAACTAAATGGTTTTATTTGTATATATATATACATCAATTTATTATATATTTATTAACGGTCCTAAGGGTTACAAACTACCCTTTGCCTATTGGTAACCCAAGGACCTCCAAAAAATCTTCCGTTCCTAAACCCCCTCCGGTTCACCCATACAACACTGTATGGTTGGTTGCCTATGGTTCAGGTTCACCGGGAGATGCTGCGTAGCTCTACAGCCGGAGATATCAGGTCTCCACTTTTAATAAACTAAAACCTTGTTTTTTCAAGAAAATATAATTAAACAAATATATGTACAAAATATTTACAAAATAAAGAAAACTAAAAATGATTGAATGCGACCCAAGTAGGAGGGGTCGACCGGGACAATTGACACTCGTGGTAGTTTTGTTAACCTGTAACTGATATCACGTTAGCTTCCAGAATGAACAACCGGTAGGTAGTTTCAAAGACCACTTCTATGATTCAACTTTACACGGGATCAATATAAATCAAGTAAGTTTTGCGTTAGACGCTCAAGTACAAAAATATTCGGGGTAGATTACAGGAAGGCTGGTTCCAGTCGAGCGCGAATTTACATTCGCAGCGTCTACCATTTCACCACAGGGATAACCTAATTCTGAGCACGGCTATACAGCCGTATACTTTTTCCACGGATGGTAACAGGAAGAGCGCGGTCCTACGACCTGCACCTCTTTGTACTGTATAGTCAGGTAACCCCAAATTAACGGCACGGCTATACGGCCGTACACTTTTAATTCAGGAAGGGTTTCAGAGCGCGGTACTACAACCGGCACGTCTGAGGTAAATTATTCAACAGGGCGGGTGTCAGAGCGCGATTTACAATCGCTAACGTCTGACCAGGAAACAGGAAAGAATTTCTTAGGATCAGGAAAACAATTCTAAGACGAGTCCCCTTTCTGGTCTGGTTTCTGTTTATATAGTCTGTGGAAGGAAGTGGGAATGTAATGGTGATGGTAATCGTACTGGTGGGAATGTCCACAAACATGACGTCTTTGAAACTACCGCCCTCTCCTGATAGAAATCTAGATTAATTTCCAATTCCTACAGGAATCAAATTACAAATTAATCTTATAACATTTCACATCATTACAATATTAAACAATTATATTTCTTTGATCGTCTAGGTAGCGGTTATATTTGGAATATCTGGAGCAATGAGGCGAGAGGAATGAAAAAAATTGACAGTCGATAATATATAGAAGATCGAAGTTCAGTTTTAGTTGTAAACATACCCGATTCGAAAACGCACTTGGAAAGAATTTTCACTATCACCCATTTGTTATATTTAGAAGTTATAGAAAATATGTCGCACTTCGACCACTCAACGTGTGACGTTATTTTCTTTACCGTGTAACCTTTGCTTTGGCTTACATTTGCATTACTATGTGGAATCCTTCTAGAATAACATTATGCGTACTCTTACCTTTATATAGCAATGCTTACGCCATCTAGGTGTTCACATTATAACCCGATCCTTTATTTGCGATATAGTTTTCTTTTAAAAGAACCTTTTGTCTAGTTTTCTGTTGATTGGCGCGGTTATCTTCTCCCACTCACTGTCGACGCGCGCAGTCCTTGTTGAAGAACTCGATTCGATCTTGACTTGTATTTGAACTACACGCTATTACACTTACTTGACATATTTGTCTACCTTTATGGGATTAAATAGTGGTGTTGTATTAAGATTAGTGGAGTTTTCTCTTATCATCTTACTTCCAATTTCGCTGATGACGCTTTGCTGCGGATTTATCTTACAAGTTTAAGGCCGTTTTGCAGTATGTTATCTATGACGCATTATCTTTTTATTTTAAATAATCTATTCTAGGCTACTTTCGTACTCCCTAAGTTTTCTTACTTCTTATTTTGGTTTTACCAATTGCTTCCTGACTGTACATTGATATTTTGACGTGGAAACGCGAATACCCGATTTTCCATATGGTGCAATAGAATTGCATTGAAGTTTCGACGCCATTACAATCAAAAACGCTCTACATATTTCTACCTTACCGACTGAAGAATTACCGCCATTTCATGTGAAACCGATATTTGAACTGATGACCCAATTTTACGAAGATCGTTGACCTACGATTCATTCTTCCGAAACGCAAATACTTAGTTAACGAGACGTGTGGAGTTAGTACTGTGTAAATTTTTAATTAACGTTATGCATTTTACTTTGAAGAACTTGCTCGTGTAAGTTTGTTTTCATTTGAATTGATAAGATTGCTTTGTCATTGAAGATAGATTCAGTTATTTTATTTGTACATTTTGTAGTATTTTTCTCTTAAAACTTCATGTCACTTTTTGATATCTCATACCGATTATGAAAACCAACCCTTAGTCGAACCAAATTTTATTTTGTTGTAAAGTCATTTGAATTTTTGATTCATTTTAGTATTGATTGCAATTCTACGTACAAGAATAACCATTCGTGTCTTACGTTAACCATTGCTTAAATATGCGATATATTGTGCAACGCGAATCATTACCCTTCTTATATTTTTTTGTTTTTGTGTCTTACTGTTTCAGATGTGCAGTTTCGCGTCCTCTGAGCTCGGAAGGTTGCGCCCGGAGTTCAAGGTAAATTTAGTTATTTTCGTCGTTTGATTACATTTTGGTTGTTGATACTAACGAGTTGTGATTATTACTTTGTTTGAAAGTCACTTAATGATTATAGCTCCGTTGTTTCTGCGGAAGCCCTTTTGGATAAATATTTTCCCAGGCTACGTGTTGGCTTCTCATTTGTTTTATTAGAGATTATTTTAAATTCCCAGTTTGATATACTAGATCGATATATTACAGTGTCAGATTTGTGATATTTTGAGATCTTTGTTATTAAACTACCCGCATTTATGACATCAAATACTGTTTGTTTTTCCCCATAATTGTGTATTCCTTTGAGTTTAGTAAGACGAGAACAAGGATCTCTTGGTCTGCCTTGTTCATCCCTTTAGTATTCCTCTCTCTCTAGATTCATCAAAGACTAAGTAGCGCCTATCCGGATTACTTTTACTGTTTCCTTCCCTTTTTGGCTTATTTGCGTGTGTATAGAAGCACCCCATTTTCACCCCGACCCACCTCTACTTTGCCTGAGCTTACCGTGTGCTTACCTAAGGTAATTTTGTCACGTTGGCCCAAAGTGAACGTAACAAACGCTTCCAGCAATCGCTTCTTTTATAAATACGTAAAGGGAAAATGCGTAAATCAAGTAGTTGGTATAAATAAATTTGGAGAAATGCCGAGCATTGTTGCAAACTATCTTAATCTGCCCGATGCAAAGCGATATACCGGCCACTGTTTCAGCAGGACTTCAGCCACCTTTCTATCAGATTCTGGGACAAGCATTACAGATATTAAACGCCACGGGGGATGGAAATCGACTACTGTAGCCGAAAGTTACATAGAGGATTCAATCACTCAAAAAAACAAAATTTCTGATAAAATATTAGATGTTAACGTTACTAACAATCAGTGTTATAACATTTCTTCTTTGTCAGTTAACAGGCCTTTAAGTAACCAAAATGTTTATTCTGGTACTTCAACTACTGAACGTAACAGTGCTGTATCTGGAGTAAACATGGGCGTACGCAGCTTTTGGTCTAGGGAGGGGCAAAAAATAAAATTGACGGAAAAAAATGTTTAATGAAACACATAATATACATTTTTATTTTTAGTCTTACAGATATTTTTTACCAAACATAAAACGTAACTTGGGGCCAGGCCAGGGGGGGCAGCTGCCCCCCCTTGCCCCTCCCTGCGTACGCCCATGGGAGTAAACATAACTAATTGTACAGGTTTGACTATTAATATTTATAATAATGTACCGCAATAGTGTAATCTGTAATTTATTTCCCAATTAAACTGTTTAAACTCGAGCTGTTTGAGTACAACTTTGTCCGTGCGCGAAATCCTACTTTTTCCTACGACAATTTTCATTGAAAATGACTAAGATCTACCATAATATATTAGAAAGCAAATCGCATGTTACGTTTTGCTTTCGTAGTAGTCTAATCTTCTTGTAACATCAACGTAGTAGGCGTACGTCAAACTCTAAAATTGCGATTAGTTTATTCTTGAATTTATTTCCTCGTGCTACGCGTTTAATTCCTTACTTAATTTTAATGGCGAAAAGTGATTCTTCCATGGATGTAGAGTGTAGGTACTCCACCCAACATCAGGGAAGAGGCAAAATCCACTACACTCGAATTACTACCAACTAAATTGCGGCCGAGGTATGAAAAGTAGCGTACGTCTAATAATATTAGTAAATTTCTTGCATAAGCTCCAAACGACAAGTACCGCTTTGCTAAAGTAATTATAACAATAGTTCGTTAAAGAGAAATTGAATCTATTTCGTATTTTTAGATAGTTTTAGTAGTTGGTTCGAAATAAAATAACTTTTGTTTCATTATGTCAGTAGATTTTTGGTTGTATGGAGTCGTAGGAAAAATAGTGTACATGACTCGTTTGAAAGACACTTTTCACACTCGTTTGAAAGCCACTTTTCACACTCGTGTGAAAAGTATCGCTTTGAACACTCGTTACGTAATATACTAATTTTTCACTGTTGACGTTTTTGCGCACGTTGCTAAGAGCAACGTTAACTATTAATTAATCGTTTAAAAATCTAGTACTTCGCGTTTCGAAATCCGTCAGAAAATGACAGGTTTTTTTGACAGTTGTAGAAAAAGAAAATTTTTGTCTCGTATGGTTTTGACACGGCCGCCATTTTGTTTTTTCTTAATGGCAACATAGGCCTTGCGACACATCGTTGGAAAGCTTATTTTACCTTCATTACGAATATCCCATAGAAAAAATACGGTTACGCAAAAATTATTACAACATAGCGAGAAGCAAGTCAGAAGAATGGTTGACCTTGCTCCTTATCACCGTAGTAGTCAAGTACCTACACACTATCCCCAAACGTCACTTTCTTATTAAGGATCCGCAGATCATTTATAGTTTTGTATAGTTGATCGCCCTTTCGTCAGTTTGCGCTATAACTCTTTTTAAAAGTGACCAATCGTGTTTAAATTTGGTAGGGTGCTATTGATTTTTGGGAAACTGGTTCAACAGGCACAAAAGTTATAGCACTTGGAGTGAATCGGGAACTTGAAAAACTGTCAAAACCGTTATTCATGCACCAATATTGATGGGAAAAAGACTTAGAGCATTATCTCAATGCCCATGACGTGAATTGGAACATGTCAAAATCGTATTATTTGAGATTATACACAATACATCATTTGATTTTAAAATCAATATGCTTTTTTAATGTTCTTAATTTTTGTTTAAATAATCGCTTGTATTGTGTTTATTTAATTGTAAACAAATAACGTGTTAAATGATCAAGGTTATTCTTTTGTAAGTGTTACCTCCGCTCAGTGTGATAACACATGCATCGTGCGAAGACGCCCTGATTTGTTAAGGAAGGGGTTTTAAATACAAAAAGAAGACGTGAATCTTGGTTTTTTTGGTGGTGGACGTTAATGTTTTGTTTTTTTGTGGACGTTGAAATGTAGCCGCTTATTGTTTTGTGTGTGTTTGGCAGTTCTGCTGTAATGGAAGCGTTTTGAAAAGTCAGCCAGTCTTCTTTAAAGTTTTGTGGAAGGAAGTGTTTCAAGAGATTTAAGTCGTCGTAATAAAAGTGAATAGTCTGTTTCCAGTAAGTTCAGTGGTGCCTCGTGTATTCAAAGAAGAATGTTTCAAAGAACCAATTTTACATCAGTAATTACAACGAACCCAGTGTCGTCTAAATTGAGATTAAAGTGCAAGTAAAGAAGTGAAGTTCCAGAAGCATCATCAGTTGTTTTTTGTACTTGGTTGTGCGTCTTGTTTGTTGAAAATCGCGGTTACGACCGGATATTTTGGTTTATTATTCACACTTTTAAGATTTCTTTAATTAATTTGTTCAATCGAGCGCTTGTGCGTGGTACCTTCCTTATAAGCCCTGTTGTCTTTCTTTTCAGTTTATAGATTGATTTTGTCTAGTAAACTTGTTTCATGTGTAAATGTCCTATGTTATGTTTAATCGAGCCCAAATTACGACCAAGATAAGAGTTCTCATGTTAAACTTTTCTGTTGAT